GCTCTACAGAGATGCAACACTCTCGTCTACCAAGCAAGCACCGTGCAACGGCTGCTGAGCTAATCTAGGAAGGCGGGGGGAGCAGTTCGTCTGAAACGAGTTGAAACGATAGAGTACGGTACTGCTAGAGAAGATGTGGAGGCGAAGAGCAGAGGAATTTCCTCTACCGGCTCAGCCACGGGAGTATTTTGGTGTCGGCGGAGCCTCTTGTGCTGCTTGGAAGGTCGAAGCGGCTCCTGGGAGGTGAGTGGAGGGCAGTTCGGAGGTGAAGCCGGGAGCAAGTTGGGCCCTTTGGCTTCCTCCACGGCCTGGAAGCAGAGGAAGCAACGAAGCTGAAACATGTTGAATGCTGCAGTATATTCTTCCCCTACTTCCCCAAATTTTATTCCTCTGGGGCTGCACGATTTAAAACTGCTGCCTGCGATTATCCGCTGGAAGATTTAGGACACTTTCTTTAGTTTTCATATTTCTTAATCTCCCACTTCCCTCATCCTTCACGTAACACTTAATTCCTCGTGATATTATTGACATGTTGTTTTAATAGCAAGCGAGGCGTTTCATGGGCAAAACAGATGTTTTAAATCTTGCATAGGTTTTGAGCACAATTTGGTCTATTAGTGTCTGCACCTTGCTAAAATTAGATTTAAAAATTTGGAGCGAATGCACTTCTCAAACATTTTGCACACTGAAATAAATATACATTGTCTACAAACATAAATTCATAGGTCTTTATTTCTAAGCCAAAAAGAGAATTTTATGAGATTAAACTACCATTTTGGTGTTTGTTTTTGAATGCAAATGTATGGGTTTTTTGTATTATTATTTTTTTTGCTGCTTTCTCATGTACTGGACTAATGTTTAAACAATAATGGAACTTAACACATTAATACTGGTATGTATCTTACAGATAAAGGAGATGCCAAGAAGAGGACTTTGGACAATAGAGAATAAGAAGCAGCATTAAAATGTAAAACAACCCATCAGTAAAAATGCTTTCCACTTCGTCTGCAAATTGTAAAAAAAACTCCTCCTTCCTCAGCAGATGAGAGACAAGTGAGAGAATAAAAAGAAGAAAGTTTCCACCTGGAAAAAAAATAAAAATCTCTGGAACTCAAGAAAACATTACATGAAAAGTCAAGGAGGATAATTTCCAAATAAGGGAAAAGAGGGAAATACCTGGAAGTCAGTAGGAAGGGAATATATCCCTTGGATAGCCAAAAATGGGCAGACATTAATAAAAGACTGTAGAAGGAAATAATGGCTTGAATCAAAGAACTTGCAAATAAATCACAAATATTTTTCGTCTCCTCAAGAATCCAAAAATATCACTTTTTGAAAACACTCCACAGAGTGCCTATTGTGGAAAAAACACAGCTTGCTGATCACAGCTAATTATGCAGAAGAGGATCCACACAGTGAAAATGATACAAATGTTTGGAGTGCGGCCAATGCTTTACTCACAAAAGCTTCCTCGTGATTCATGGAAGGATCCAAACCGGAGAGAAACTACCAGTGCTTCCAGTGCAACAAAAGATTAAGTATGAATACCAATGTGGTGAGACATAAGAGGATTCAAACTTGGGTGACAAACTTTGAATGCCCTGTTTGTGGGAAATGTTTCACACAGAATTCTGATATGGTGATACACCAGATGTCTCACAAGGCAGAGAAACCATACAAGTGTTCTAAATGCGAAAAAAGTTTCAATTGGATTTGTCGCCTGAAGATACACCAGAGGAGTCACAAAGGAGAAAATCCATACGAGTGTCAAGATTGTGGGAAAGGTTTCAATTGGAATTCTCTACTGGTGGAACATCAGAGGATTCACACAGGAGAAAAACCCTATGAGTGTCCTGATTGCGGAAAAGATTTCTCTCGGAAATCTGACCTAGTGAAACATCAGAGGACTCACACAGGAGAGAAACCATATAAATGTCGTGACTGTGGGGAAAGTTTCAGTCATAATTCCTACCTGGTGAAACACCAGAGGACTCATACGGGAGAGAAATCGTATGAGTGTTCAGATTGTGGGAAAGATTTGAGTTGCAGTTCCGCCCTAATTAAACATCAGAGGACTCACACAGGAGAGAAACCATATAACTGTCTTGATTGTGGAAAAAGTTTCAGTCACAATTCCTATCTGGTGAAACACCAGAGAACTCACATGCAAGAGAAACCATATGAGTGTTCAGATTGTGGAAAAGCTTACAAGTCGAATTCTTACCTAGCGACACACCAAAAGATTCACACAGGTGAAAAACCATATGAGTGTTTGCAGTGTGGGAAAAGTTTCATTCAAAATTGCAACCTTGTGAGACATCACAGGATTCACACTGGAGAGAAACCATTTAAGTGTCCAGATTGTGGGAAAGGTTTCACTCAGAATTGTGACATGGTAATACACCAAAGGACTCACATGAAAGAGAAACCGTATGAGTGTTCAGATTGTGGGAAAGGTTTCAGTTGCAGTTCTGACCTCCTGATGCATCAGAAGACTCACACAGGAGAGAAATCATATAGCTGTCCTGATTGTGAGAAATCTTTCAGTCAGAATTCCTACCTTGTGAAACACCAAAGGACTCACACAGGAGAGAAACCATATAAATGTCATGATTGTGGGAAAAGTTTCAGTCAGAATTCCTACCTAATGAAACATCAGAAAACTCACATGGCAGAGAAACTGTATGAGTGTTCAGAGTGTGGGAAAAGTTTCAGTCAAAATTCCTACCTGGTGAAACATCAGAGGACTCACACAGGAGAGAAACCATATAAGTGTATTGATTGTGGGGAAAGTTTCCATCTGAATTCTCACTTGGTGGTACACCAGACAATTCACACAGAGGACAAACTGTATCAGTGTGTGAATTGTGGTAAAAGTTTCACTCGGAATTCTGATCTGGTGATACACCAGAGGACTCACACAGGAGAAAAATTATATGAGTGTGTGTTTTGTGGAAAAAGTTTCAGTCAGACTGCCAACCTGGTGCAACACCAGAATACTCACACAGGAGAAAAACCATATGAGTGCCTGGATTGTGGGAAAAGATTCAGTTGGAATTTCCACCTGGTGATACACCAGAAGACTCACACAGGGGAGAAACTGTACGAATGTCCAGAATGTCAGGAAAGTTTCGTTATTAAGTCTGAACTGGTGAAACACCAGAAGATTCATAGAGGAGAGAGATTGTATGAGTGTCCTGATTGTGGGAAAAGCTTCCCTCGAAATTCCAAGCTGTTGAGACACCTGAGAACTCATACGGGAGAGAAACCATATGAGTGTCTGCATTGTGGGAAAAGTTTCAGTCAGAAATCTAACCTAGTGGTACATCAGGAGACTCACACAGGAGAAAAACCATATCAGTGTCCAGATTGTGGGAAACGTTTCAATCAGAATTCCTACTTGGTGAAACACCAGAGGATTCACAGCGGAGAAAAACCGTATAAGTGTCTTGAATGTGGGAAGAGTTTCAGTCGGAATTCCCATTTGGTGATACACTTGAGGAGTCACACAGGAGAGAAGCCATATGAATGTCCAGATTGTGGGAAAGATTTCCGTTATATGTCTACCCTTATAAATCATGTAAGGTTACACATAGGGGAGTAACCATTCAAATGCCCAGATTATGGACAGTGTTCCTCCCACACAAATTTCCTCCCTTATCACCCAAGAAATTCCATGTGAGGCAAAATTTGATGTGTGTAGAGGAATGTTGAATTTCATTTCTTGTGTTTCATTAGAAGCCCCATTGAACAATATTTCATTACTTGTATGGGCGTTTTTTTAGTGAAATTTGCCTTTGTATCAAAAATGAGTGAGGAATAGAGTAGGATAGGATAGGAATAGAATAATAAAGTTGGAAGGGACTTTGTATGTCATCTAGTCCAATCCATTGTTCAAGGAGGAGATCCTGTACCATTTCTGACACGTGGCAGTCAAGTCTCTTCTTGAAAGCATCCAGTGATGAAGCAACTACTGAAGGCAAGCTGTTCCATTGGAAAATATATTGCTCCCTTCCTGTCTGAGACACCCCCTCACATATTGGAAGACTGCTATCATGTCACTCATGGTTTTTTCGTCACTAGACTAGCTATGCCCAGTTCCTGTAATTGTTCTTCATATATTTTAGCCTGCAGGCCTCTGATCTGAGCTTCCTTTCTATAGCCCAGTGCAGTTATTCCCTTTCATGGAGTTAGGGGAACTCCTTTGCTGGGTGAGAGAAAGCGAGCATAGATCTCTAGAAATTATGCTTGCTGCTTTAGGTTATTTCTATATATAATAAAGGGGGATATAAACTATGTATGTATGTATTTTTACTTGGTAAGAAAATGTATATAGCAGCCCAACTCATAGGACTCCAAAAGGGTTTACAGCAATAAAATCTTAATAGAGAAACCAGTTAACCCCAGCAAATAGCAAAATGTAAAGCCTCCACATTTAAAATGTACTTGCCCTGCAAATACAGAGCACTTCTAACAAGGTTGATGGCAATTTGATAGTTTGAGAATCCCAAACAAGTGAATCTTGCTTTCGTTCGAATTTCTATGTTAAACAGGCTTCTTGGCCATACTAATAATGTTCATGCCTGGTGCCATTCTTGCTCAAAATTGGTTATTTTTCACCTGGCAAAGAGTTAAATTGGGGAAGTTCACCTTAGGATTAGAGGCATATAAAATTTAATAAATACAAACACCTGGCTTCAAATCAAGCTTCTGATGCAGGGTTTGCAATGCAATAGACTCACTATCCAGTACAAATATTTAAGGGAAGGGGCTAGGAGTATGCCCACCCTATCTGACCTAGTAGACCCCATGTATAGCAAATGGCAAAATGCAAAGCCTACATATTTAAAATGTACTTGCCCTGCCCCCAATTCTAGCAAGGTTGATGGCAATTTGATGACCTGAGAATCCCAAAAAAGTGACTCTTGTTCAATTGATAAGTTTACTTACCTTACTAATTATGTTCGTGCCTGGTGCCTTTCTTGCTCAGAACTGATTTAAGTTTGAGAAGTTCACCTCAGGATTAGTGGCATATAAATTTAATAAGAACACCAGTTTCCAAATCAAGCTTCTGATGCAGACTCTGCAACGGAAACAACTCACTATCCAGTAGGAATATTTAAAGGAAGGGGCTAGGAGCGTGCCCACTAATCCGACCTGGTAGAGCAGGTAGATGCAAAAATAATAAAGGTGGGACAATAATGACAGGTGCCCTGGTGACTTAGTGGTTACAATGCAGTATTGCCCGCTGACTGCCCACAGCCTGGAATTTGATCCTGACGGGCCTTGGGGTTTATGTAGCCTTCTGTCCTGAGATTGATAAAATGAGCTGAATTGTTGGGGACAATAAACTGAAAGTGCTATAAAGCACTATGGGGTGATATATATAAGTCTAAGCACTATTGCTATAATAAATAACTTTAAAGTTCACGGCCAGCGTTTTCAGTTGCACTTGTAGAGAAATGAATCCAGTGCAGCTCGCACAACCAAAATGTTACACAGGCAATCAAGGGACTCCCATTACTGTGGTGGCTGTTGCGTTCTGGACCAGTTGAAGCTTCTGGGGGACCCAGGGTAGTAATCCAAACAGGAGGTGACCAAGGAATGAGTGACCCACTGTGCACGGCCTCCTTGCAAAGTGTCTCAGTTTTGAACACATGACCATGGGCATGCTGCAATGATCTTTGAGTGTGAAAAATGATCGTGTCACTTTTTTCCGATGCCGTTAAAACATCAAATGGTCACAAAATGAAGTGTTGGATTAACCTCCCCTAGCGGTTTCATGTAGATATTAAACCACATTCCTTACAGAGGAGAAGCCTGACAGTTCCAGTTGCCATTGCAAATCCAGGACCCCATGGATCATTAAGTGAGGACCTCTTGTGATTGTTCTATGGGGAAGAGGTAGGTGTTCCAGGCCAGCAGGTGAGAGCTAGGGGGAAGTGGGTGGTCTCCAGGCCTGCTCCTTTCTGGGCCTGGGAGAGAAATTGAGAGCCAAGTGCTAAAGCACAGGACTCTAGATCAGCTTTCTTCAAACTAGGGCCCTCCAAAGACTTTGACCAAGCTGCGTGGGCATATTCAATGGTGGAATCTTAATTCCCCTGGAAATTGGCTCCTCAGAGGAATTCTGCCCTCTAGTGAGATTTAGCCTCTGCGAGAATGCAGATGGAGAAATAATATCTCCTATCTAGAGGTGTTCGGAAGCAATGTGGGTGGGCACTTCAATGTTTTGTCTTGCATTTCATTTTATTAATGGGATGAAGCTGTCAATCGTTTAAGGCTGTACATACAAACAGGACCTTTATCAGCTTTTATGATGCAGCACCTGGCTAATCTTGTGAAGGTAAATAGGGTGAAGCTGCACTCTTCAAGTTTCCCTCATTTCCAAAGATAGTTTCAGGGAGTTATCCTGCACCCCCAAGAGGAAGAAGTGGCTGGAAGAGTCTTCACTGATCCCCAAAGTTGGTGTGCTTTCTTGTTGTCTGATGGCATATAGTGTTTAGGTCTTGTAAATGAAGCTCCGGGCTCAGTTGAGATGACAATGAGGCCGTCTCTACACGACCCGAAAGGAGAGAGTAGGGTTATATTAGGATGGTTCTGGAGAAAAGTTAAGGATGTGGTCGGAATGAGTAAGAAACGACACTTCATTATAAAAGTTACAAACGCCAGAGACAGAATGAGTGTATTTTCATCCTCAGGTCACTGGGGGAAGGGGGGCTCTAACAACGCCAGGGCCTAGAATACTATCAATATAATCAAGCATCACTTATGGCTTTGTTGGGATGTACAAACAGGACAACGGGGATGAAATGGGGTTAAAACCATCAAGCATTGCTAGAAAGGATGTCGAGGAGAAGAGAGGTAGAAAGGTACTTCCTCTTTCAGCTCAGCCATGGGAGGGTGTCAGTGGAGCCTCTTGTGCTGTTTGGAGGATCGAAGCGGCTCCTGGGAGCTGAGTGGAGGGCAGGTGGGAGGAGAAGCTGGGAGAGAGTTGGGCCCTTTCGGTTCCTCCATGTCCTGGAATCAGAGCAAGGAACAAGGCTGAAACATTTCAGTGACTGTTTCTCTCTCCAAATGCTGTTACACTGATGCTGCATGATTTAAAAATTCTGCCTGTAATTGTTAGCTTGGAAATGGGAGAGATTAAAATTAAAAGGGCTGGAGACTAAATCATATGAAGACTAGAGATAAAAAGAAATAGGAGGCGATATGAAAGCAGTATTCCAGTATTTGAGGGGCTGCCACAAAAAAGAGGCGGACAGCTTGTTTCTCAAAGCACCAGAACGCGAGGCGAGAAGCAATGGAGGGAAACTAATCAAGGAGAGAAGCCTGCACTGGTTACCGGTTGTCTTCCGAGTGAGTTTCAAGCAGTGGTGGGTTTCACTTTTTTTAGAACCTATTCTGTGGGTGTGATCTATTTTGTGGGCATGGCTTGGCAGTCATGTGACCGGGCGGGTATGGACAACTTGACATCACTCATGCACACTCAGTCACATGACCAACCCCAAGCCATGTGGCAAAAAAAATTGGGACTCCTATGAAGGGGGGGGGGGGGGAAGAGAGGGGAAAACCTCCCAAAAATAGACAACTGGAGGATTAAGGGCCGAAATTAGAGAGATCGGAGAAGGCAGGACAGAGAGGAATCCAGTAGAAAGCTATCACACGCTGGGGAAAGAACTTTGAGAGATCGGAGGAGGCAAGACAGAGGGGAATCCAGTAGAAAACTATCACACTCTAGAGAAAGAACTTTGGGAGAACGGAGGAGGGAAGAAACAGAGGAATCCAGTAGAAAGCTATCACACGCTGGGGAAAGAACTTTGGGAGAACGGAGGAGGAGAACGGAAACACTTTTTGATTTTATCACAGCATTGCAGGGCAGGAATCTTTAGACCAGCTTTCTGCAAACTGGCTTCCTCCAAGTGTTTTGCCCAAGGTGCTTGGGAATAAATGCTGAAAGGTAATAACGCTAGGAATTGCGAAGGCTGCTCTGAGCAATTCTGCCTTCTAGCAGGATTTAGACTCTCCCAACAATACAGACAGGAAAATCACATCTACCTCCTACCTAGATGGACTTCAGAGGCAATGGCAGTGGATTTAACAGATTCAACAGATTAACACACGGTTGACAACCATTTAGAGCCACAGAGAAAAAAGAACTTCATGAACTTTTCGCGTGTAGCACTTGGCTAAACCTGTGAACCTAAGTGGAGTGAAGCCTCAATTTTACCGCGACATTCGTGCCTAGAAAGCAGTGAATACAGTAAAGTAGAGGCATTGTTCGTCTACTGGATGGTTAGAGGCGGAGATGGAACAGGTGGAAACGATAGAGATTTAACTGCTAGAGAGGATCAGGACGAGAGAGGAACTTCCTCTTCCGGCTCACACACGGGATTATTTTGATGTCGGCGGATCCTCTTGTGCCGTTTGGAGGGTCGAAGCGGCTCCTGGGAGGTGAGTGGCGGGAAGGTCGGAGCAGAAGCCGGGAGAAAGTCGGGCCCTTTGGCTTCCTCCACGGTGTATGACGCAGCGAAGGAACACGGCTGAAAGATATTGGCTGCTCCTGCTGCATATTCTTTTTCTCCCCAAATGTGTTTATCCTTTTGCTCCATGATTTAAAATTGCTGCCTGTGATTTTCTGCTGGGAGATTTAAAACGTCTTTATTTCATATTTCTATCTCCCTCGGTCTTCGGGTAACATTTCATTCCTTGTGATGTTATTGACATGCTGCTTTCCTGGCAAGCGAGGAGTTTCAAGGGCAAAATGGATGTTTTAAATCTTGCATAGGATTTGGGCACCATCTCATCTCCCCACCTTTCTTAAATTAGATCAAACAAATTGAGTGAATCCACTTCCAAAACATTTTAAAGAGTGAAATACTTTTCTGCATAGGTACACTTATAGGTGTGTATTTATGTGTGCATACATAAACCTCAGTGTTTTCCGGCAATTTTAGTAACAGTTTGCAATGATAAATTGTGATTTACCTAAGCCAACAAGAGAATTTCATGATTTGAAAAATGAGTGGATATTTGAACTTAGATTTTGCTGCTCTTCTATGTGCCTAATGAATCATAATGAATGTTAGAGGTTAAAGAGCATTTTAATCTCTTTGCTTTTCATAGTAATATATGGATTTTCTTTCTTTTTGCTGTTTTCATAGGTTCTGCAGTCATTTTTAAAACAATGAAACTAATCCATTAATATTAATCTTCTAGACAAAGAGGAAGCCAAGTAGAGCAGTCTGGACAACAGAAGATGAGAAGCAGCATTAAAATGCAAAATAAACCATCAATCAAAATCTTTTCCGCTTCTTCCAGAAAGTGTTAAAACTTCTCTTTCCTCAGCAGATGGAGGAGACAAAAGAGAGAATAACAGAAACAGAATTTTCAGATGGAAGAAATAGATGTGGAACTGAAGGAAATATTGCATGAAGACGTAAAAAGATACAATTATTCTCCAGGGCACCTGAGTGTAGAACAAGAAGCAATGGGTGGAAACTAATCAAGGAGAGAAGCAACTTAGAACTGAGGAGAAATTTCCTGACAGTTAGAACAATTAATCAGTGGAACAGCTTGCCTCCAGAAGTTGTGAATGCCCCAACACTTGAAGTCTTTAAGAAGATGTTGGATAGCCATTGGTCTGAAACAGTATAGGGTTTCCTGCCTAGGCAGGGGGTTGGACTAGAAGACCTCCAAGGTCCCTTCCAACTCTGCTATTGTATTGTAATTACTAAATTTAGAAAAAGTGGGAAATAGAAAAGATTCCTAGGACAGCCAAAGGCATTAATTAAAGCCTTTAATGATGGAAAGAGTGTCTTGAATCAAAGCACCACCAGATAAGGGATCTGAAATAGTTTTCACTCCCTCATGAATCCAAGAATACCAGTTTTGCTAAAACTCGACAGACTGTTTATTGCAGGACAAACACAGATTGCTGATCACTGTTAATTGATGCACAGAAGGATCCATCCCGTGAAAACCCTAACAAATGATTGGAGTGTGGTAAAAGCTTTACTCAGAACTGGACTCCTGTGACTCATGGAACGGCCGATGCCAGAGGAGCAGCTCTACCAGTATTCCCAATGTGGCAAAAAAAATAGCATGCAAACCAATCTGGTAAGACACGAGAGGACTCACACTGAGGAGAAAATCTTTGAATGTCCTGATTGTGGGAAAACGTTTAGTCAGAATTCCATCCTGCTGATACATAAGTGGGTTCACACAGGAGAGAAACCATATGAATGCCAAGATTGTGGGAAAAGTTTCAGTTGGAATTCTCTCCTGGTAGAACATCACAGAATTCACACAGGAGAGAAACCATATGAGTGTCCTGATTGTGGAAAAGATTTCTCTCGGAAATCCGACCTGGTGAAACACCAGAGGACTCACACAGGAGAGAAACCGTATGAATGTTCAGATTGTGGAAAAGGTTTCAAGGGGAATTCTGACCTGGTGATACACCAAAGGATTCACACAGGTGAAAAACCATATGAGTGTCTACAATGTGGGAAAAGATTCATTCAAAATTTCCACCTTGTGCGACATCAGAGGACTCATACAGGAGAGAAACCATATAAGTGTCCTGATTGTGGGAAAAGTTTCACTCAGAATTCTGACCTGGTGATACACCAGAGGACTCACACACAAGAGAAACCGTATGAGTGTTCAGATTGTGGGAAATGTTTCAGTTGTAATTCTGACATGATGAAACATCAGAGAACTCACACAGCAGATAAATTATATAAATGTCATTGTGGAAAAAGTTTCAGTCTGAATTCCTACCTGATAAAACACCAGAGAACTCACACAGAAGAGAAACCATATAAATGTCATGATTGTGGAAAAAGTTTCAGGCAGAATTCCTACCTGGTGAAACACCACAGGATTCATACGGAAAAGAAAACATATGAGTGTCCGGAATGTGGAGAAAGTTTCAGTTGCAAGGCTCAACTAGTGAAGCACCAGAAGACTCACAGAGGAGTGAGACTGTATGAGTGTCCAGATTGTGAGAAGAGTTTCACTCAAAATTCCAAGTTGTTGAGACATCACAGGACTCACACAGGAGAGAAACCATATAAGTGTTCAGATTGTGGGAAAAGTTTCAGTCAGAATTCCAACCTGGTGATACACCAGAAAACTCACACAGGAGAAAAACCATATCAGTGTCCAGATTGTGGGAAAGGTTTCACTCAGAATTCCTACCTGGTGATACATCGAAAAACTCACACTGGAGAAAAACCATATCAGTGTCCAGATTGTGGGAAAAAATTCTGTCATAATTCCTACTTAGTGAAACACCAGAGGACTCACACTGGAGAGAAACCATATGAGTGTCTTGAATGTGGGAAAAGTTTTGCTTGGAATTCCCATTTGGTGATACACCAGAGGAGTCACACAGGAGAGAAACCATACGAATGTCCGGATTGTGGGAAAGATTTCAGTAGTAGATCTAACCTTATAAATCATGTAAGGTCACATATAGGGGAGTAACCATTCAAATAGGTAGATTGCAAACAGTGTTTCACACAAAGTTCCTCCCTTATCACACAAGAAATTCCATATGATACAACATTTGATATGTGTAGAAGAATCTTGAATTTTTTTGGTTGTCATTGGAAACCCAGCTGAACAGTTAAACAATTACTTGCATGCATGATTCTCTTTAGGAAATGTCTTAGTATCAAACGTGAGGGTGTAATAGAATAGAATAACAAAGTTGGAAGAGACTTTGTCATCTAGTCCAATCACTGCAGGATTAGTGGTATATGTAAATGCTGTTATTAGGTTAATAAATATAAGCAAACATCTGTTCCAAATAAAGTTTCTGATGAGCAGGCATCTCTTCTTATCCCAGTACTTAGGGAAACAGCTAGATCTTCCTTGCTTTATGGAAGACTTGGAGGAGAAAGGCCTCCAAACCTCAGGGGAAAAGTTTTTCATTGGGCAGAATCTGCAATGGAAAAGACTTCCTATCTCCTATCAGATGGCATGGGGGATGGCAGTCGTGCTCTGCCCAGGGCGGAAACAGCAGCTACTAAGTGGATTGAGGTCAGGTCAGTGAAGAAATCAGGAGCAAGTAGAGCTGCCTGATTTCCTACACGGTGTAAAAGCAGAGAAGGAACTAGGCTGCTATATATTTCTTCCCACCCCAGATTTTATTCCATCTGTGCTGACTTAAAAACGTACCCACAATTTTCTACCGGTTGTAAAAAGTCTCCTTCACTCTATGATTGATTCCTTGGGATTTTATGGACGTTGTTTTCTTGGCAACAATAAGGGATGGATCTGTCACTGGTCTCTGTTGGGATTTTACTTTTTTTTAATTTCCATGTTTAGCTAACAAGCATGGTGTTATTTTTACTTTGAATAAAGGCAGGATATAAATATCTATGCATGCATGTATTTTTATTTATTTAGAACATGTATATGGCAGCCCAACTCAAGGTGACTCCAGGCAGTTAACAGCAGTAAAAACCTAATACAGAATATGCAAATGGCAAAATGCAGAGCCATATACAGAAACCAATAAACCCCGTATATGTAATCAATCAGAATAGATCAGGAAGGCACCTTGGAGGTGTTCTAGTCCAACCCTCTGCTCAGGCAGGAGACCCTATATCATTTCAGAAAAGTGGCTGCCCAATCTCTTCTTAAAAACTGCCAGTGATGGGAGTACGCGCAACTTCTGAAGGCAAGCTGTTCCACTGGTTAATTATTCTCAATTTTAAGAAGTATCTCGTTAATTCCAGGTTGCTTCTGTCCTTTATTCATTTCCATCCATTGTAGGATGGATGGCTCCTGCTAGTTTCATGAAGATGTTGAAAAGGAGTAGTGAATGCTTGAGCCCCAGGGTAGCCCACATTACGGGAGGCTTAGGATAGAGCTGTTCTTCTATCCGCGTTGACTTGAGCTGGCCACGGAGGTAGAAGTAGAACCATCACAATAAAGTGCCTCTTATTTCCAGTTCCAAAAGCTTGTCCTGAAGGATATCATGATCAGCGATACTGAAACCTGATGAGAGGTCTAGGAGGGATATAACGTTGTACCCTGTCTATGCCAAGCCCTCCAAAAGTCTATGATAATTGCAACCAATGCCATTTTGGTGATGTGCCCTGGCCTGAAGCCAGACTGAGAAGGGCCCAGGTGTCTTTCCTCCTGCACAATCCTTTCTCCGGGTGGCAAAGTCAGAGCTACAAGCAGAGGGTGAATTGAAGTCCCAGGCTGCCAATTTTAATTGCCCAGCTGCACTTAGAAGAGATCTTAATCTGCAGCAATGCCTTGAATTCCTCTTCCAAGAAGACCTCTCATGATTTCCTTATGCATAAATAACTGCTGTTGGAGGTATAAAGCCAGCCAGGATACCAATTGCCCAGTAGGGGGAAGTGACTCTTCCAGCTCTATCCTGAGCTTGGAAAAGAAATATGGGTAGTTCTGGCGTTGCGACAACAATTTGCACCAGAATTTCTATTGCTGGTGTCACATGACCGCATTATTTAGTGTTGGGAGTCCTGGCCATTCCAGTTGCATTACAACTCCAGGACCACATGGATCATTAGGTGAGGACCTCATTTGTTTGTGATGTGGGAAGAGAGAGAAATCCCAGGCGAGCAGACCATCAGGTGAGAGCTTCAGGTGAGAGCTATGGGCAAGTGGGTGACCTGGCTGGCTCCTTTCTAGGGCTGGGAGAGGCAGTGCACACAAATGTATTTTCAAAAGGTCTGTATCACTATATCTCCTTTTTCTATTCCTAACCTCTACATTTCTCTAACCCTAATCTCCATATGTACCTAATGTTAAACCATCTCTCTCTCCATCACTCTGTCTCTCACAGATGTGAGCAATGTAGAAGGGAAAAGTTGGTCTGGATTTCTCTGAGGAATGGACCTCAGGCCAGGATCTGTTTTTAAGAAGGGTTTTCTTCTGGCTGAGGGAACTCCATTTCCAAACAGGAATGTATGAGACTTAATAGAAAGAAGGAGGGAAGGCATAAATGACCTATTTTCCCCCAATTTCTTGTTTAATGCAGATTTTCTATGGTTTTTGTGCGTTTTGATTATTAAATTTTTAATTTAAAAAATGAGTGTCAGGCAGATGGTAACACATGCATGCTGCTACCATTCTTTTTAAAACACTTTCAAACATGTCTTTGAAAAATGTATTAGTGTTGTTTATCAGATATAGGAAGCCCCTTTCTGAGCTCCCTTTTTTTTAGGCCCTGCTGTGTACGTGTCTCACTCACTTTGACTTAATGGAGATTTCCGTGCTAAGGAAAATAGAGAAACACATGACATTTAGCAGACTTAAAATCTTAGCTACGTCTCTGACCAGCAGGAGTGAGGCTAATTCCCTTGGAGCCGCTGGCCTGCTTCCATGTCAAAGGAAATCAGTTATAATATTTTGGGATGTAGAGAGGTTTTGAGGGTGATTGTGGGCGAATGACAATCTTAGACATAGCCCTGGCCAGGATTGAACATAGTTCCATTGGAGCCTGCTGGTGCTTCCATGTCCGAAATCCTTGGGAGCCACAAGAAATCAGTAATAACGTTTGGGGATTTAGAGAGGTTTTGACAGTGACTGAAAGCCAACTAATAAAGCACAGGACACTTTAGATCAGTTTTCTACAAGCTAGCTCCCTCCAAATTTTCCTGCCTAGGCAGAGAGTTGGACTAGAAGACCTCCAAGATCCCTTCCAACTCCGCTATTTTATTGTATTGTATAAATCTTTTACCCAAACTGCCTGGGTACATTCAATGCTGGAAACTTAACTCAATGCTGGAAAATGGAAAGGCTGCTCAGAGGAATTTTGCCCTCTAGTGAGATTTAGGCCCTGCAAGAATGCAGATGGAAAAATTATATATCTCCTATCTAAATGTGTTTAGAAGCAATATGGGGGGTGGGCCCTTCAAGGTTTTGTGCCTTATTTCATTTCAGGTAATCCTCAACTTACAATAACAATTGAGCCCAACATTTCTATTGTTAGTCAAACATATATTAAGTGAGTTTGGCCCATTTTGCGACATTTCTTGCCACTGTTAAGCAAATCACTGCAGTTGTAAAATTAATCAAAACTGTTGTTAAGTGAATCTGGCTTTCCCATTGATTTTGCTTGTCAGAGGATCATGGCCCCAGGACACTGCAACCATCATAAATATTGTATGAGTTAATTGCCGTGACTGAATTTTGATCGTATGGCCACAGTGAAGAGTCTTCACTGACCCCCAAGGTGCTTTCTTGTTGCCTGATGGCACATTTCGTTCCCCCCACGTATGCTTTCCCTTGGTTTAGTTCCTGCAAAAGAAGCTCCTGGCTCACTTGCAGTGAGGATATGGGCATCCCTACAAGACCCCAAAGGACAGACTAGGGCTAGATCCAGTGATGGGTTTCAAATTTTTTTAGAACCTCTTCTGTAGGTGTAGCCTGCTTTGTGGGAGTGGCTTGCTGGCCATGTGACTGGGTGGGAGTGGCTTGCCAGCCATGTGACTGGGTGGGCATGGCCAACTTGTAAAATGTGAAACTCACTTAACAACGCTCTTGCTTAGCAACCAAAATGTTGGCTCAGAAACTTTGTCATTTGAAACACACATGTCTTAATGCTGTCAAGTTACAAGACCCTTGCACCCCTAACCATTTAGGGATTAAAAAAACCCAGGGGTATTCA